ATCCACCTTACTCTTTGCCCAGCTCTACATATTAACCAGGGGAGAGCATTGCTGAGTTCAAGTGTCGCAGGCAACACCAGGCCCAAGATACTTCTTTTTTAAAAAATCACAACTGGAAGTGTCCTGAAGTCCACTTCAGGTTTCTGTCTTTGTGTCTGGGAGGTTGGTGAAGTTTACTATGTGTATATATGTGTCAAGTTGCCTGTACCTGTGACCACATTCAATTCATAGTGTTATCTTAGACAAAGAATACATAAGAATGTTTTTGCCAGTTCTTCCTTTTTAACACAAGCTATGATTCCTGTAGGTGCCAGGAGCAGGGGAACTTATTTTCATTGCCAAGGGGTACAGGACCCCTCTGGATTGTTCTAGGCTGTCCTGTATTCATGGAGGTTTTCTTTCAAGACTTCTCCAACTACCTTTTCACCTTAACTTTCATTCCCAGTTACAATCATGGGGCAATGTTTGACCCATCCCTTTGTCTCATTTAAATTAATACCTGTATTGGATCAGGGAATTACACTGAAAGATTTAATCCTGAATGTAATTTTATTAATATTTAAAATAATAAACTTTAAAGCATGTGTAAAATCCTCTAGTACTGCATATGGGAGTGGAGGAAAGTGGTGGCTGAACACTACAGGGCAACATTTGAAGCATGCCAGTGAGAACAGGTCTTGTTCTCCAAAGAATGAAAAACAAACAAAGGTATCAAAAAGCTCATGTATATCTCAACTCCTAACCAACATCCTTGTAGGTCATTAGTAGTACTCGAGCACATAAGGTATAGGTTTTTATCTGAATTTCCTGGATAATTTTATGACTACTCTTTGTAGAACAGGAAATAGTATTGCCATTCAAATGCAAGAAGTCAACTCAGTCAACTTTATTGTATTTTGACAAGATCCTTCTGTCCAAGTAACAGCAAAAACAAGCCCATTTTCATTGAGTTGGTTTTTTTCTTAGTTACTGAACAAATATTTCCAGCAGAGAGAAAAAAAATAAAAAGTTCTTTATTATTTATGTGTTTGTGTCAGGGCAGAAGTCTACAACCATATTGCAGGTAGTGGCAGTGGTAAGATACATTGCTTCCAGAAGTGAAGCACCAAATTATTTTACCCCTCTTCACCCATCATGGTGCCTAGCATAAATCCCACAAGTTCATTTAAATTTAACAATTTGCTGCCCTTTCAGCACTCAGAATGAAGAGTCTTTTGACTCTACTGTTAACACCTTAATAGTTAGCAATTAGGCTTAGAAATACAGCAAACCTGCAGTGTAGCCCCTTGCTGAAAGGAAGAGTAGGATGAAAATGATCATCCAGTATTACAATATCCTGCTGGGTGGCCTTGGGCAAGTCAGCCTCAGAACAAATCTTGCCAAGAAAACCATGTGATAGGTTTGCCTTAGGGTTGGCATAAGTCAACAGTTTGAAGGCACAAAACAATTATAAGTATAATTTGGATATTAGTGATTTATAGCTCTCTAATAAAGGCTTTGTTGCAAAATTTTTAAAAATGACATGAAGTTAATTCATTAATAAACCCTCTTGAGCTGTGTGTGATTGACTCACCACCGTGTGTCATCCACATACTAATGACAGTTTAGCAACCAAAATTTAACCCATAATTCTGGATGACCTCTCAATTACATCTTTGCCAGGAAACATACAGCCCTCCAGATGATGTGTTTCATCAGCTCTACCAGGCCCAGCCATTGTTCAGGGATGCTGAGAGTTGTAGTCCAATAATGTCAGGAGGGCCACACCTTGTCCGTCTGTGATGCAACCTTTTAGAAAATAGAAGTAATTTCCACTGAGAGCAATGGGATTAGCTCCTGAGTAGGCATGTATGAGGTTCTGTAAATCACTTGAAATTATGGACATCAAGAATTATGTTCGTCTGGAAAATCAGTATGTAAAATGATAAATGTATTACCTTGGAGACCAACTGAAAGAAGTTGGTAACATTAGTTTTCATAGATTTCAGCCTACTTACACCAAAAGAAATTGTATACAAATAATGTTTATTACGTAAAGGTAAATCTAGTTAAATTGCTACTTCAAATTAATCACAAACCAGTGTTTAGTTGAACAACTCATTTGAATTTGAGGTATTGCCTGTCTCTCCAACTTGTCCCGGAAATGGCCTTCCGACCATGGCAGTGTTCAAATAAAAAACCAGCCAGCTGAAGCATGAAACATTTTACATTCTCTTCCTCCTTGCTGCTGCTTCACCATTTAAACAAAAGACCTGGTAATGCAATTACACTAGCTTGTCTTGCATATTGCAAGTTGCAGGCATTGTGGCTGGAAACTAATGGTTTAAGACAGCCACCCTGTAGTGTAGTCCATGGTTAAAACTGTAGGTCAGGCCACCAGGGAGGCAATTCTGCATTGTTGTTTAGTGATGGTGTTAACTAATATATTGCACATTGGGGTTCAGGTTGAGAGTTGCATCCTAACACTGTTTGCACAACTGTTATTCCCATACTGCAGGTTGAGGGTGCATGGCAGGCCCAAGGAGGCAGATAATGGTTTATGATAACCCCTGCAGTATACAATACTGGGAACATTGCAGATCAGAGATGGGGTTGAAGCTAGTGTGGATTTTCAGCCCAAATATCTTACATATAAAATGCCCCTCAGATTTTTCTTTTGTTTTGAAGTCAGTCTATTCATAGTGTTCCCTCAGGCCAATTTTCTCTCTCAGGACGCATCCACACTGCAGAAATAATTCGGTTTGACACCATTTTAACTGCTATGCCTCAGTGCCATGGAATTCTGGGAATGGTCGTTTTGTGAGAATTTAGGCTTCCCTATGAGAAAGGTCTGGTGCTACAATGAACTACAGTTCCCAGGATCCCATAGCATTTAGGAATGGCAGTTAAAGTGGTGTCACTGCATTGTTTCTGCAGAGCAGATGCAGCCTGTGTCCTGTTCTATGCCAATGCCTCCTCTTTATTGGCCTTTAAATTTAACAGTTACTAGGCTGAATAGTAATAATAATAATAATAATAATAATAATAATAATAATAATAATTTATTTATATCCCACCCCTCTGCAGAGCAATCGGAGCGACTTGCAACATTCAAATTTACATAAAAATGAATTCTGGATGAGTGAGCCCCACTGAAAAAAATGGGGGCTTACATCCAAGTAAACTTGTATGAGGATTGCCTTGTAACTGCTGCTGCTGTTAACTGCCTTCCAGTTGATCTTGATCCATGGTGACCCTATGGATGAGACATCTCCAAGCCTCCCTGTCCTCCACTACTCTGCTTAAATCCTGCAACCCCTTAATACTCAAAGTGACCTCCTTCACAGAGCAATGCAAAAAGCTTCTTCTGAGATCCAAGAGGTCTCCATCCTTTGTAAGTCACAGCCTCCTTTGTTAAGCAGAGAACATTGAATTGTCAAGAGAAGCCTCCATGCTTCTGCATTAGGAAAGCTCCAGGTGCTTTTTTGGTAAAACATACCAAATGTAGTACCAATTAAGAAAAAAGTGTTACCTTTGTTGGTGGTAAAAAACCCAAATAGCAAAGTCCCAGTCCTCTGTCTCTCTTTTTAGGATTCCCTGTAACAGCTAAAATGCATTATCCTCACATTTAGGAAACATACTCAGGGGCAGCTGTGTTGCAAAGTACAATAACATCCAAAATCCACAAAACTGATACCTTTGTTCGTGATACCTTTTTGTAATGGGATTCAGATTTTATCTCCTGGACTTTGGGATGCTTTGTCTCCCAGTGCCCACAGAAGGAGGAAGGGCCTGCATAGATACCCCTCCACAGAGCAACACAACAACATCTTGAGAACATGCAGGCTTGTGACTAACATTTTATGTAAAAGGATTTTATAGCACCTTTGAGACTATCTGAAATAAAGAAGGATGAGCTTTCATAAACTTGTCCATGTGGAGGAAGCAGACTCAAGTTGATGAAAGCTCATGCTAACAACTTGTTTCTTTCAAAGACATAGCTATGTTAGTTGGGAAGATCAGATTGCAAAGTGATCTTGCAGCACCTTTGAGACTAACAGAAAGATAGAAATTGGAAGCATGAGCTTTCATAGACTTGGGCCTACTTCCTCACATGTATGTGATAGAGTAGAAAGCCCAGGGACAGACCTATAAAGCAGTCTGTGTTTGAGAATGTCCATAGGAATGCAAAACTAGAGATGAGGTGACAAAGTTCAGTTTTATCAATGGTGGGGGACGAGACAACATGGTAACCATCCAGGACATGTCCTACATGTCATCCAGGAAGAGTTCCAAAATGTTCTCCATTTTTGAGCATGGCTGTTGGAGAAGATTGCTGAGGATACCATGGACAGCCAAGAAGTCAAACAAATGGGTGCTAGAACAGATCAAACCAGAAATCTCTGGAAGCCAAGATGACTAGACTGATGTGGTCTTACTTTGGCCACATTATGAGAAGGGAGGACTCATTGGAAAAAACAATAATGCTAGGAAAGGTGGGAGGGAGTAGAAAGAGAGGAAGGCTGCATGCTAGATGGATGGACTTTATTATAAACAGGACACAGGTACGAATTTGCAGGACCAAAGCAGAGCAGCGGAGGACAGAGGGAGTCTTGGAGATGTCTCATCCGTGGGTTGAGATTGACTTGAGGGGGATAACAAGAACAACAAAAGAAGCATGTATTTATATGTAGTGTTTTAGCTAAAAAAATATAAATCCTCCATTTTTCTTGAACACCTTATATTTTGCGGTGCCTTGTTCTCATTTGTGGTTATACCATCTGATCATCCTGCAAGGCAAGGATGTTGCCTAAAGCCAAGGTAGTATTCGGATGTAGTGTGGGAGCCCAAAAGATGCAATGAACCAGCCATTTTATAATCCCTTTCTCCTATAAGCCTTTTGAAAACATCTTTGCCTGATGAAGCAGCTAGTGGAGCTTCAAAAGCTTCCATTGTGTATTTCGGTTGGTGGAATAAAAGTATCTGTTTCGTGGATGTTGGGTGTTATTGTACTGTAGAGGGCTAGTGTGGTGTAGTGGTTTGAGCTCCAACTACGACTCTGGAGATCGGGGTTCAATTCCCCACTTGAGCATAAAAACTCACTGGGTGACCTTGGGCAAGTCACACTTTCTCAGCCTCAGAGGATGACAATGGCAAAACCCCTCTGAAAAAATTGCCAAGGAAACCCCATAACAGGGTTGCCATAAGTCAAAAATGACTTGGAGGCACACAACAACAAGTCCTGTACAGCAGTGGTTCCCAAACGTTGGTCCTCCAGGTGTTTTAGACTTCAGTTCCCAGAAGTCCTGAGCAGTTTGGCCAACTGTTAGGCATTCTGGGATCTGAAGTCCAAAACACCTGGAGAACCAACGTTTGGGAACCACGGCTATAGAAGACACGACACTCGGAGGCTGAGAGAAAGCGAATCCTCCTCCTACATCTCTCATTTGTGGTCATGGTTTCCAGGCAGAGAGGGAAACGAGGACAGCCAATTGGCAGCCGGCCTGATAACTCATCCCGCCTCCACTTCCGCCTCGGGAAGGGCCCGAACGTCACAGAAACCGGAAGCTGACCAAATAGGTCACTATAACAACCGCGCAAGGCCTCTTCTCCTCCCGCGTCCGTCTACGTGCCTCCGTCGCTCGAGGCGCATGCGCCGTTTCAGCTCTCCTGGGAGGGGCGTTGCGTAGACATGCGGCTCAATGGAGGCGCCCGGCACTTTCTGTCCGCCTTCTATTGCGGAGGCAACGGTCGAGCGCGCGGCGGCGGCGGGTGCTCCTCCTCCTCCTCCTCCTCCTCCCCCCTGTGCGCGAGGCGCCGCGGTTTCTGCTGGGTCCTAAAGAGAGCCCTCCAAGCGTGGTACCCAGTGGGCCCTGGGGAGCCCTCGGGGTTGCGCCATTGCAAAGAGATTACTACTAGTAGTAGTAGTAGTAGTAGTAGTAATGTTGGGGAAGAGCGCTGCGGGGGGACGTCGGAAGCCCTCCTGGGCGTGTGTCGGAGGAGGCACTTCCTCCGAGGAGAGGGCGAGGGAGTGCCGTGGGGCTCCTACCTGCTGGGGGACCCTCCGGGCTTCCTGGGGCCCCTCGGGGTGGAGCTGAGGAAGAACGTGGCGGCCCAGTGGTGGGAGTCGGCGGTCCTCCTGAGGGAGCAGGTCCTGGGCGTGGAGGCGCCCCTCTGGCGCCCTCCTCCCGGGAATGGAGCAGGAGGAGGAGGAGGCGGCCTGAGGGTGGTGGAGCTCCGGGGAGAGGCCTCGGAGGAGGGAGAGAGCGGCCCAGAAAGGGCCCTGCTGCCCGAGATGTTGGCCGCCTCCGGGACGCTGCGGGAGAGCCTGCTTCACGGTGGGGCTTCTTCCCTCAGGGGATGGATGATGAGGATGAGGGGTTCTGCTCCTTCTGGGAAGAGGAGGGACAGGGCATGGGAATTGTTGTTGTTGTTAGGTACTGCAACAAATGACAATACTTGCCCTCAGAGAAATCGAACTTGCCCCATAGAGAATTGTTGGGGAATACCTGCTCATAGGGAAACATTGAATGCTTGTCCAGTGTTTCCCTTTGGGCAAGTATTCTCCAATGAATCTCTGTGGGCGAGTATGGTTTCCCTATGGGCAAGTACATTCCTCCCTCCACATTTGCGGCTTTTGACTTTTGTGAATTTGATTATTCGTGGATATCAATATGTTGTTCTCTCTAGGAATATCTAGGTCCTCCAGCACAACGCTATGGTCAACTTTAACCAAAGGTCATACTAAAGGATGTAGAGATGTGTGGCAGATGTTGACCACAGAGTTGCACTGGAGGACCTAGAGATTCCTAGAGAGGAATTGTCTCAGGTAAAAACATAATGTTTTTGTCATTTGTGTTTTTTTCCACATTCACAGGGATCCTGTGTCCCTAACCCTAGTGAATGTGGAGGGATGAGTGTACAGTACTTGCCCATAGGGAAGCCATACTTGCCCATAGAGAATCATAGGGGAACACTGCCCATGGGCCAGTATTCTCCTATGACTGTGGGCAAGTATGGTTTCCCTATAGGCAAGTACTGTCGGGGTTTTTAGTACATCTTGTGTGCCTTGAAGTCATTTCTGACTTATGGCAACCCTGTTATAGTGTTTTCTTGGCCAGTTTCTTCAGAGGGAGTTTGCCATTGCCTTCCCCTGAGGCTGAGAGAGTGTGACTTGCCAAAACCCAACTTAGCGGGTTAAAAAAATCCAGGAGACAGGCAACCTTATAAGTATAAACTTCAACACGGACATTGGAGACCGAGATGACTACATATTTTTTACACACACACAATTACAACTCTTACCTGTTACTTCTAGTTTTTAAGGATCTGTTGTGTCTACATTTTCAAAGAATGCTTTATCATATATCTAACGGATTATGTATAACTTCATATTGAATGTTCTAAAAGATGGAAATGAATGACAACGTGGGTATCCATGGCTGAGCCAGGATTCAGACCCTGTTCTCCAGAGTCATAGTCCAATGCTCAAACTACTACACGCTAGTTCCCGAACATGGAATACCTTGCATCTTAAGTTGTGTTATTTAAAAAAAAAAAACAGAAAGTGTTAATAAAGGGAAAAGCATACAGAAAGTCCTTGGTAACCAGTGGGGTTTGGTTCCAAGACACCTCCCCATGGATTTGGTAGATACCAAAATCCATGGATGCGCAATTCCCATTACATACAGTGGCATAATAAAATGGTGTCCCTTATACAAAATGGCAAAACCAAGATTTGCTTTATGGATATATCTTTTTTTAAAAAAAATGTTTTCAAACCATAGTTGTTTGAACCTGTGGATAGAGAATCTGTGGATGCAGAGAGCCCATTGTTTTTAATATTGTGGTAGGCAGAAATTGGATCTAGATCCAATGGGTGATTTGCAGGGGATGAACAAGGATTTTATATAGCCTTGCCAGCATGGTGAGCGTTGGACTAGGACTCTGGAGACCAAGGTTTGAATCCCCGCTCGGCCATGGAAATCCACTGGGTGACATTGGACAAGCCATACACTCTCAACCTTAGAAGAAGGCAAAGGCAACCAAACACTTTCTGAACAAATCACAAAACCCCCATAATAGTTTTGTCTTAAACTAGCCTTAAGCTGAAAATCACTTGAAGGCACACAACAACATTTAATAAGTGAACCAACAAATGACTTTCCCTTCTTGTGTGCCTTCAGGTAGCTTCCAAGTTATGGCAACCCTAAGGTGAACTTACCATGGATTCGCCTTAGGATAGCCTTAAGTTGGAAGTGAATTGGAAGGAACACAACAGCAATACCTAATAAGTGAAGCAGCAAATGTCTTCCCGTTGCCCCCAATTATTGGTATACCACTGACAGAAAAAGCTTTAAGTAGCTAGAAGATGATTTCTGGGTGGAAGGACTTGGAGACTTTATTCAGTTCTGGTATTCAGAACAGATTGCAGATTTATTTTATTGCTAATTGCATGCATATATTTAGAATTCAAAGATACAACTATGTTAGCATGTAGAGAAAACTTGTATGTAGAGAGAGCTTGTAGCACTTTTGAAACTAACTGAAAGAAAGAAGTTGGCAGCATGAGCTTTTGTAGATTTCAGTCTACTTCCTCAGATGCATTTGGTGGAGTGGAAGCTAGGGACAGACTTATATATGCCCTTGGTGTGTGAGAATGTCAATTCAAATCCAAAATCCTTTGTGTATTGAAATGAAGTGGCAAGTCCAGTTGTAACAGACATTGGGAACTAGCCTTTGTGTATTAGTTTGCAATGTCTTTGTTCACAAATGACCATCGTTAAAACTGAACTTGCCACTTAATTTTCATACAAAAAGGATTTTAAATTTGAATTGACATTCTCAAACGCCAGTGGCATATATAGCTCTGTCCCTGGCTTCCACTCCACTAAATGCATCTGAGGAAGTAGACTTTCTACTTTTAGTAGTTTCAAAGGTGCTACAAGATCTGTCTACATACTGCATGCATATATCTTCTGTACTGGGATCCAGTTTCTGCAACTCAGGTCCAAAGCATCTTGCAGAAATAATCCCATTTGAGTCTGCTTTAACTGTCCTGACTCAATGTTAGGGAATTCTGGGAACTACTTTTGTGAGACATTTAGCCTTCTCTGTCAGACCTCTGGTGACACAATAAACTACAGTTCCCAGTATTCCCTAGCACTGAGGCAGGGCAATTAAAGCAGTCTCAAATGGGATTATTTCAGCAGTGTGTTTTGGACCTCAGTCACCACTCAATAAAGGACATATTACGACTTTAATCATGTACCACTGTATTTTGCATTTCTTGTAATCTCTTGCCTTTTGTTTAGAAGTGGCAGTCGATTAGTCAGACACAAAAGTAGCTAGAATTCTTATTTGTTTTGTTTGAGGTTGGTGTAAGGTTTCTAGAAAAAAAGGCAAAATCTGGCAAGCAAACCTAGTTTTAAGTAACCATTGCACTTTTGAACTGAACACTGATAGATTTTTTTCATTGCAGTTTCCAGAGTCTTGTTTACACGTTACTATTAGGATGCTTCATGATAGTTGGATTATTTTTGAGTTTTTTTAGTGTTAGCTTGCAGAGCTCGTATGTGTAACTTCTGCTACACTTCTCAGTGTAGCAGCAGTTGCTGGGGTGGCTACTGTGTTTAATGCTTTCTTTACTTTCTATATTTAATACTTTCTAGGTGTTCTAGAGCATTATGTTGAATGCTTGGAATTGGTAAACAAGAGGTTACCTTTTGGGATTGCTCAAGTAGGAGTGTGTTTCCATCCAGTAACAAAAAATGAAAAAGACAATTACGTGAGGTACAATATTAAAAATTGCTATAACTTTTTAAAATAAAATATTTACTCGTGTGCTTTTATTTCTGGTAGAATTTCATTTCTGGTAGAAAATTAATAGCTTGAGTTTGTGTTTTATATTCTGATTTGCTAGCCACTTGCTCTCTTTTGTTTTTAAAAGAACAGGTGAAAGGACAATGTCCACCCTCGTATGGTTTAGCTCTCCCAGAACTGCTGGACAGTGGCTTGATTACTGGTTACGTCAGCGTCTCCAGTGGTGGAGAAAGGTATTCACTTTTGTTATTGTACCCTCATTACATGTTA